ACGCCGACGGCGCGGCAGCGTGGGGTCCACGCGACGATCTGGATATGTTCAACCCTCGATCTTCCTCGTCAGGATTATGTTATGGTTCTGCTGCTGCAGGTGCTGCTCCTACCAACGATGGCGGTCATCCTGCACGAAGGTCGAAGCGGTCGACGCGGTTCGGTCTCGGAGCCCTCGAAACAAACGGGCACGCCGGGCCGCGCGGCTGCCGTGGCGAGCGCGCGCACACTGGCTGCCCATCATCGGCGGCTCGAAGATCAGTCCTCATCTGCACGAGGAGTAGCCTGCGGGATTTGTCCAACTGCGATACATCGCTCCTGATGCCACCAGCATTGCTGCGACGTGATGGCTCCTGCCCTGTTGTCGGTGTCGTTCTCGCCCTGGCTGCGCTGGCACAGCTGCCGACGGCGCCCCCCCCTTTGCCGATGGGCGCCTTGCCTTTGCTGGCGCCTGCGTTCATCATGAAGATCGTCTACTCCTCGTCGTCGGGGCGGGTCGTGTCTCCACGATCGATCGCGTCGCCGCGATCTGACTCGATTGCCCCGATGGACTCGCAGCATTCCTCTTCTTCTTCTTCTCCATCTCCTGATGGCATCGCAGCCCAGCAACGCACAGCATCCTCGACATCGATTGTGCGTCTCGCAGTTGAGACGCCCCCACTCGGGGAGGTCGCCCGATGCCTCAGCCGCGCGGAAGCGGGATTCGGAGTCCATGGATGAGTCGGGGCTGTCGTCGCCCTCGCACATGCTGCAGCCACGCTCGGGGCATTCCCACGAACGGTCCAATCATCAAGTAGCAGCGCGCTGGGCACTGACAGGCCCTGCCTAGTCACCAGACGCTGCCAGCACGGAGTGCGCCAACAAAGACCGACATGGAATTTGGACGCGCCGTAGCCATCGCGACAAACGGCCCGCGGGGCCCCCATGCTTGAAGGAGGCGCCACGCACGGCAGGACGTCTGAGACGCGCCCATATAGCGCAAGGATCTATGGCGCAGACTTGCCGCGCAAGCTGCGAATGCATGGCGATGGGAAGACATCGTCGCCCATGGCAAGATCGAAATTGGCGCGTCGGCGGTCGTCGCCGTCGGACCTGGAGTCGGCAGCTGGCTTGCTCAGCTCATCTCCGCGCAGTTCAGCCAGCTCTGCGATCAGCGCTTGGTCAGCGGCTGTGGATTGGCGTAGATATCTGGCAATGGGCGCGGCGAGAGCGGCGGCAGACTTCAATGCCTTTCCGCACATTGGACTTCACGCGACGCCGTGCGTTTCGCCACTCCTCCAGCTGCCGCCAGGCTCATGGGCGCGGGCGGCGGCGGCCTGGCCGCTGCATCTGATGACGAAGCCTGGCCGGGTATCAGCGCCAGTGCCGGCGCCGGTGGTTGGTTAACCCAAGCAATACGTTCCCCGTCGAGATGCGGTTGTTGATGCGATTGCCAGAGCGGCCCCGCCTGCGCGCGCACGCTGGGACGTCGCGCTCCGCGGCCAGGATACCACCCCCGTAGTCTGATCGTCGTGAGTGGCGAAGGCAGCGAAGAGCCGAGGATCCAGTAGCTCTTCTTAAGGCGCGGCATTGTCGCGACATGAAAATTGCAAGCGCACCAGGCGGCGTTCAAGCTCTGCTGCCCGCTGGCGCCGCGCAGCGATAATCATCCTCCGAGCGCCCATCGCGGCGTCGTCGTAGAGCATCTCGTGGCAAAGCCACGGTAGTTGTAGCCCTTGTCGTTGGATCTCGTTCTCTTGACTCAGAGTGCTGAGTTCTGTCACAGTTAGCGGACTCCTCGGCATTGATCATGGGCAGCCACCGCTTGAAATTCGGTTAGCGGCCTCGTTTCGGCAAGTGTGAATCAGGGGCTCCAGCTCGTCGTCGCCGCACTGGGACTCGCCGGATCTCTCTGGCAAGACGCCCAGGGCCACGCGGTGCGCGACCGCGTCGGTGCTCCGGTAGGCCACGCGGTCAACGACCACGCCGGTCGCCGCCGCTTCTGCCGCGACCGCCCGCCCCGAAGCGAGCTGGGCCTCAGGGCGCGAGATTCGGGCCACGATCGCCGCGCACTCGCCCTCCAAAGTCGTCGCCAATTCGATGTTCTGGCTCCTCTTCTGCGCAATATGCGCAAAGACTTCCTCCCAGAATCCAGCCATTGAGCGATACGTCGGGCTCCTCGAATTCATTGTGAACCAAATACAGGAAGTCGGCTGCAACATCTTCGGAGGTCGTCATACATGTTCCTTCCATTTGGTTAAACTCAGCGAGACCGCCGTAGTCAACTGAGCCGGCGAGAGCGACCGCGGCTGCCCCCTTGCCTGAACCCTTGTCGGGGCCGTCTCGCACGAGGTGCGTAGGCACTGCGCCAGTGGCACGTCGGCACATGTCCGTTGTTGCCCCTAAGGTCTGGGCGTTGTCTCTTGCCGGCTCCAGCGGATCGCCTGCCCTTTTTCTACTTGTCGCAGCCGCCGAAAAAGAATTATTCGTAGATGTCTTGCGCGAGAGCGGCCAGGTAGGCATTGATGCCGCGGCCAATGAGGCGGTGACGTCCTCCACGGCCGTTGCCTTTGCCACTCGTCCTTTTCTTGAAACACTTCCGCGCGCGCCTGATAGACTTCTTCATAAATCGGCGCCAGCTACCATTGGCACATTGCTTGGGCCCGAAAATATCCTGCGCCGTTCGGTCCTCATCCGTGTCTGCCAGGTCGTCCCATTGGTAGTCGGTGTCTCCCAATGAAGAAATCGTGTCGGCGTCTGTCCCACTGTCGTCGTCTTCCTGGGCGCCGGACAGGGTCGCCCGCGGTATCGCGTCGCCGCGATCGGAGGACTGGCCGGCCCGGAAGTGAGCCAGCAGAGGTAATGGAGCAGACCAATTTGACCATCCACTTGCGGTAGCGCCCCACGTAGTCGGTCATGGCCCTCCAGCTGCCGCTTGGTCACCTGTAAGAAGGGTTTACTGCTCCACGGTGCCGGTCGCAAAGCGGATGTCTGACCTGTTCTGGTTCTGTAAAATCTGCATGAGATTGCCCAGCGTGCGCTTGTTTACGTGGCGTTTCCGCCTGTTCGTTTCCACAATTGTACTTGCTGCTCCTATGTGTCGGTCGTCTGGTGGATGTCTGACCTGTTCTGGTTCTGTCAGGTCTGCATGAGATTGCCCGGCGCGCGCTCGTATATGTGGCGTCTCCGCCTGATATGTTTCACCATGTGGTTGTACTTGTACTGTGTACGAGACATCTGGTGGTCATAGTGCTGCAGCAGTTGCACAGCATCTTTAGGTGGAAGACGAAAAGCGCGCAGGGGGGGAGTTGACAGCAGCTGAATGTTGTGGAGGTTGACGCCTGTCGTGGCGGCCTCGTACCGGGCTACCACCCACAGTGCCAAGATACAGTCGATCCTCTCGCCCTGGGTAGTACGGAAGACTGATTGATCGAGTCCTTGATGCAGTTTCGTTGGTCTTCGAAAGCTTCAAGCCACTGCGACAATTCAAAAAGAAGGCATGTAACTGGTTCCGTGTGGACACCCTCGATCTGGGCCCCAAAATCGATGATATTCGAGGGTATCACGAGGGCCCAGGTACGTGCTGGGCCATAAGGCCACGTTGCAGTGCCGCCGCTTGCTGCAACGGGGTCACGCTCCCTGACTGGACGTTGAGCCAAGCATGTGCCTCACGTACCCACTGGCTGAAAAGCACGTACCCCGCAGAGTCCCAGGGCGGCCCTCGCGGAGTCTCCTACCAGTCCTGACACTCCACCATATATGACAATAACACAGAAACGCCACATGTTAGTCCACTGAAGACGGTTCGGAAGGCTCGTAGACACTGTCGTAGGATAGGTGAAGGTCACGGTGTCGTGAACCGTCGGTGGAGTCGCGGGTGCGCGATCGGTGGGAAAGATCGCGAAGGCACGATCTGTGGGAACTAACGTCGCGTGACCGCGCCTTTTGAGGGCATGGGTGGCTGGTAGGAAGCGAATCGCGTTGACGCGACGACAGAGGGAGTAACTGGTCGTCGTCGGATTTGTGGTAGTGGTAGCGTTGTGGTCCGTGTTGGTGTTTTTGGTCACCTCGAAGTGTTAGCTATCGCTCCTGCTCGCTCCTCGCAGGTGTCGGTGGTGGGATGCGCTTTCCAGGCGCGGGGCAACAGGGGTGCCCCCAATCCCAATAGCAGTCGGACGAGAGTCCCAGAAGATGCCGACATGCTCGGTGACCAGCGTCCCGTGGCCGAGCAGCAGCAGGGCAAGGAACGGGAGGCCGAAGGCATTGTAAAGGCCTTGGGAGCCTCATGGCCTCACCCGAGTGGGCTCGAAGTGGCCCCCGTAAAGAGCCCGAGGAGGCCAAAACCATTCGTTTCCCATCGGTCTCGCCAGTTCGGGTTCCCGCCCGCCCAAGACGGCCCAAGAAGCCTCCAAGGGGCATCCAAGATAGCTCCAAGACGGCTCAAGAGACCCCCTAGAGGGCCTCCAGTCCGCCCGAAATGGTTCAAAGATCGCCCAAGGGGCTCCCAAGAGGACCCCAAGACGGCCGTGAACCGGCCCAAGGAGGGCACCAGCACGGCCTAGAGCGGCCCCCGAGGCGGCCTCCACAGGGGTCAAACGGGCCAAGAGTGCCCTAAGGCGGCCCAAGATGCCCCAAGAGGCCCCGAGAGACCCCCGAGAGGCCCCCGAGAAGCCCCCAACAAGCCCTCAACAAGCTTTCGGGAAGCTCCCAGGAGGCCCCCAGGACGCCCCAAGAAGGCCCCAAAAAGCACGTCCTCCTCCTCCCCCTCCTCCCCCTCCTCCTCCTCCTCCTCCTCCTCCTCCTCCTCCTCCTCCTCCTCCTCCCCCTCCTCCTCCTCCTCCTCCTCCTCCTCCTCCTCCTCCTCCTCCTCCCTACCGCACGGACGAAGACGAGGTCGGGATCACGACCCGTCCCAATGCAGACTACTCGTCGGAATTGCAGTGTTCCTACTCATTGCAGTGTTCCTGCAGCGCTGCTGTACAGGCACGGTGGCGGGGTTTGCCGCAGGCAGGGTGGATAATCCTGGAGCGTGTGGAATGTCATCTTCACCTTCAGCTCGCTACCTGTGATGGTTTTGATGACGCCTGCAAACTTGGTATCGCGAAGCGAAAAGTATCGGTCGCCGCTGACCCCGGACGTGTCGAAGGAAAACACACATCCCGTGCTCTCCTTGCCGTGGGCTTGGAGCATGAAGGGATGGGGCACGCTGAAGACGAAGTGCCCCCCCGGCTTGAGCGCCCTCGCGGTCTGCTGGCAGATCTTGACCATATCAGTCTTCGTCGTATAGTTGAACACAAAGACAGCCACGGCAAGGTCAAAACTGCCCAAACTTGAAGCCGCATCTCGCATGATCTTCACTTCAAACCAGCGCGCCCGGAGGGCCTCCTCCAGTCCCGTGGCGTCACCCTGGAAATACACCTCGTTGTTGCCAGCCTGGCGCTGCGCGGCCTCCACCATCCCAGCGCTGATGTCCATGCCCACGGTCGCGGCCGCGCCCATCTGCAAGAGCGAACGCGACACGTAGCCCTCTCCACAGCCGATGTCCAGCACCAAGGACCCTGTGGCATGCGGGCGGCAGAAGTCAAAAACCACAGGGCGGCCGGTAAAGTCGCTGAGGCACGTCGGCTCCTTGCGCGCCCAGCTCGTGGCCTGCTTGTCGTACAACAGTCCGCTCCCCTGGGTGCCGTGCCCGGTGCTCTTTGCGAGCTTCTCGACAAGCTTGTCGAGGAACTGCACGCGCGCATCCATGACTTTGCTGACGGCCTCCAGCATACTGACACGCTCGCAGTGGGTCTTCGCCAGGCTGATGACGACGGGACGCATGTGGTCGGCGTGGTCGGCGTCCATGTCGATATGCAGCGGGAAAAAAGCGACATCGTCCTATTACGGGGCACTGGTTACTGTTCAAACCTACCGATGACCTACTCCTTCTCTCAAGGGTATGAAACTGTTCTGAAGCAGTACTACATGTCATGGTATTCTTATGGTGCCAGCCTGGGGATTGAAATTCATGGGTGGCCCTTCTTTTGCTGACGAAGAATACAAGATTTAAATTATCATTATTGGCGCGCGCGGTCCTGCTGCTGCAGCATGGAAGGTGTATTTGAAACACGGGTGGCGCGATGCATAAATTCTTCTTGGCCGGGCGGGCGGCAAGGAGGGTTTCCCAGAATTTGCCGACGGGGGACAGCCCATGGTGGAAAGCTTATGGGAGACGGCCTATGCGGGACACACTACGAGGATGAGGCAATTGGCGACAGCCTATGGGGGCAGACTATGGGGGGCCTGGCAACAAGAGGCAGTCTATTGGGAGCAGCTAGTGCAGGGACATCCTTCGGGGGACAGCCTACGGGGGCAGCCTATGAGGGGGACAAGCAGCTCATGGGGGAAGCCTTTTTGTGGGGCGGGCAACCTGGGGGGCAGCCTATGGGGGGGGGGCAGCCTATGCGGGGGGAGCCTAAGGGGGGGCCACCTGTGGGGGAGCAGCCTATGCGGGGGGAGACTATGGTGGGGCAGCCTATTGGGGGGCAGTCTATGCGGGGGAAGCCCTTTGGGGAACAGCCTATGGGGGGGCAGAATGTGCGGGGCAGCCTGTGGGGGGGAACCTATGGGAGCCGACGGGGGGGACAGACTGTTGGGAGTAGCCTGCGAGGGGGGCAGGCTATGCCAGGCTGTGGGCATCTATGGGCGACAGCCTATCGAGGGCAGACTCTTGGGGGGTCAAGCTATAGATAGCTGTAGGAGCTGCCTCTCAAAGTTCGCACGCGATGGTGCAAAATGGCATCCAAGACGGCCGAAGAGGGTCAAAGATGCTTTCCGGTCAATCATATTATGGCGGGAAGGTCGCGATGGGTCAAAGAGGGTCAAAGATGCATGGCAGTCCATCTAAGAGGACACCAAGATGGTCCAAACTGGCCTCAAGATGGCCGAAGACGCCCCGAGAGGCCCCCAAGCGGCATCCAAGACGGCCCAAGAAGCCTCCAGGAGGTCCTCCAGGAAGGCCCCAAGAAGCCAAAATTACAGATTGCCTCCAGGTTTTGCACGGTTTTCGCATTTGCATGTTTTCGACTTTCCGACGGCGCAAGACGGCCCAAGAGGCCCCCAAGACCACCCCAGAATCACCCAAGAGGTCTTCAAGATGGCCCCATGACGGCTGAAGATACCCCCAAGACGGCCCCAGTAAGGCACCAAGGCGACCCAAAAGGTCTCCAAGACGTCCAAGATGGCCTCCGAGCGGGCCTGAAGCGCCCCCAGAGTGCCCCAAATCGGTTCAGAGAGGCCCCCAAGACGGCTTCTGGCGGCGTCAGACGGGCCAGGAACGCCCTCAGACGGCCAAAGAGGCCCTCAAGATGCCCACAAAAAGCCCAAGGAGGCTCCCAAGAGCCCTCCAAGAGGCCCCCAGGAAGCTCCCAAGACGCTCCAAGAGTGACTCCAAAAATAAGAAGATTGTTTTGTCACGGCGTTCCGAACAACTGCGTAATTTTGAAACGGCGTTCTAAACAACTGCGTATGTTTGGAACGTCGTTCCAAACAACTGCGTATTATTGGAACATCGTTCCAAACCACTGCGTATGTTTAGAAAGTCGTTGACACAAAACTACGTATTCATGCAACGTCGTTCAAAATAAATACCCTGGCGAAGGACCCAACCATTCTGGGCGATGGTGGAACAATTGTGCAAAAAGACTGGCTGACCAGCTGACCGGCTGACCAAATGACCGGTTGACCAGCTGCCCGGCTGCCGGGTTGACCAACTGGCCAGCTGACAAGCTGACCGAATCACAGGCTGACCAGCTGACCGGCTGACCTGCTGACCGGCTGACCAGTTGACCGGCTGACCGGTTGATCGGCTAACCAGTTGACCGGCTGACAAGTTGACCGGCTGACAAGCTGACCTGCTGACCAATTGACCTGCTGAGCGGCTGACTGGCTGACCAGCTGACGGGCTGACCGGCTGACCAATGGACCCGCTGACCCATTGACCGGCTGACCGGCTGGCGGGCTGACCAGTACTGCTAGCTGACCACCGGCTGACCAGCTGACCGGTGGACTGGCTGACCAGCTGACCGGCTGAACAGCTGACTGGCTGACTGGCTGACCAATTGACCGGCTGACAGGCTGCCCTGTTGACCAGCTGACTGGCTGACCGGCAGACCGGTTGATCAACTGACCAACTGGCTGGCTGACCAGCTGACCGGTTGACCGACTGACCTACTGATCCTCCTCTTCCTGATCCTCATCATACTGATCCTTCTCGTCCTGATTATACTCTTCATCCTAATCATTTTGATCCTCGTGTTCCTGATCCTCCATATTATGATCCTCCTCCTCCTCCTCCTCCTCCTCCTCCTCCTCCTCCTCTTGATTCTGAGCCTGATCCCACTCCTCCTGATTATCCTCTTCCTCATACTGAACATCCTCATCCAAATGCTCCTCAACATGATCCTCTTCCTGACCACCCCGGTCGAGATCCTCATCCCCCTCTCCCTGATATTGGTCCTGGTAGTGGTTCCCCTCCTGATCCATCCTCCCGAGGCTCATTATCCCGATCCTCCTTGTCCTGGTCCTCACCCTGCTTCTCATCGTCTTGATCCTCATCCTCCTGAATGTCGTCCTCCACCTGATCCTCCTCCTCCTCCTCCTCCTCCTCCTCCTCCTCCTCCTCCTCCTCCTCCTCCTCCTCCTCTTCCTCCTCCTCCTCCTCCTCCTCCTCCTGATCCTCCTCCTTCTCCTCATCCTCACGGTCGTCATCGTGCTGACCTCCTCCTCCTCCTTCTCCTTCTCCTCCTCCTCCTCCTCCTCCTCCTCCTTCTCCTCCTCCTCCGCCTCCCCATCCTCACACATCATATTCTCCTCACCTGCCTATACTGATCCTCCTCCTGCTGGAGTGGTGAGCCAGTGGACCGGTGGACGAGTAAACCAGTGAACAGGGGACCCATCATCCTGATCAACAGCACCAACATCATCAACATCATCATCATCATCATCATCATCATCATCATCATCATCATCATCATCATCATCATCATCGTCATCATCGTCATCAGCATCAGCAGCATCAACATCAGCATCAGCATCAGCATCATCATCATCATCATCATCATCATCATCATCATCATCATCATCATCATCCTCATCGTCATCGTCATCGTCATCTTCATCTTCATCTTCATCTTCATCTTCTTCATCATCATCATCATCATCATCATCAGCATCATCATCATCATCATCATCGTCATCGTCATCGTCATCTTCATCTTCATCTTCATCATCATAATCATAATCAGCAGCAGCAGCAGTAGCAGCATCAGCATCATCATCATCAGCAGCAGCAGCATCATCAGTATCACCATCATCATCATCATCATCATCAGCAGCAGCAGCAGCATCAGCATCATCATCATAATCATAATCATCAGCATCATCAGCATCATCATGATCAGAATCAACATCATCATAATCAGCAGCATTATCAATATCATCATCACGTCATCATCATCATCATCATCATCATCAGAAACATCATCAAAATAACCAGCATCACCATCATCATAACCATCATCATCATCATCATCATCATCATAATGACCATCATCAGCAGCAGCAGCATCAGCAGCATCATCATCAGCATCATCATCATTATCATCATCAGCATCATCATCAGCATCCTCCTCATCATCATTGACATCATCACCAACATCATCATCATCATCATCATCATCATCATCATCATCATCATCATCATCATCTTCAGGATCATTAGCATTAGCATCATCATCATGATCATGATCACCACAACCACCACCATCACTAGCATCATCATCATCATCATCATCATCATCATCATCATCATCATCATCATCATTAGCATCATCCATCATCATCGTCATTATCACCACCATCATCATCATACTCATCATCAGCATCATCATAATCAGCATCAGCATCGACATTACCACCACCACCATCATCATCGTCAGATCATTATCATCAACAGCAACATCCTCATCCTCATCCTCATCCTGATCCTCATCCTCATCGTCATCACCACCACCACCATCATCACCTCCAACGCCATCAGTATCGTCATCATCACCACCATCACCATCTCCACCACCACCTCCATGATCATCATCATCGTCATCGCCACCATCATCATCATCAGCATCATCAGCATCATAATCATCATCATTAGCATCAGCATCATCATCACCACCACCACCATCATCATCATCATCATCATCGTTGGTGACTGAATGAACGGCTGACCAGGGGACTGGCTGACCGAATCACAGGCTGACCTGCCGGCCGGCTAACCGATTGACTGGGTGATCGGATGACCAGCTGACCGGGTGACCGTCTGAACGGCTCACCGGCTCACCGGCTGACCGGTTGAGCACTGGTCAGTTGACCAGCTGACTGTTCGACCGGCTGACCGGCTGACCCGCTGACCTGCTGACTGGCTGACCAGGCGCCCTGCGCAAGTACTCCGCCATTCTGAACCAGACGCAGCTGTGGGCACCGCGCTGAGGGCACAATTTGCGCTGGAGCTCCCCATGGGGCCACGAGACGTGTGAGGGCGTGTGCCAAATTGGGCGCGGTGGCGCCATGCGGACACTCCCCCATTGGGCCTTCGGTGGAGCTCCCTGTCGAGCCCCGAAGCGTGCCGAGATGGGCGCGGTGTGTGCCGCATGGGGCGCAAGGGCTCCATGCGGACTCTCCCACTGGGGCCTTTGGTGAGGCTCCTTATGGGACCACGAACCGTGTGACGGGTGTGCCGAAATATGTGGGGTGGCGCCACGCGGACCCTCCCAAAAAGGGCCTTCAGTGGAGTCCCCTTGGGGCGACGAACCGTGTGAGGAGTGTGCAGAGATGGGCGC